GTGTGTATATACACATCAAGAGTCGAGATTAGGGTTTTAGGCAGCAACCACTTAACTAGAGGCGAAATAGAGACGAAGGAAGGAAGGGAGAAAAAGTGACGACGAAATGGAATGGCATAAAAAGAGAGCGGAGCGTGCAATTCTTCAAAAAAAAACCAATCAATGGCAAGGGGAAATGGGGGTGTGTAAATGGAAGTGGTATTATATGGAACCAAGAATTAATGTATTTCCTGCTAAAGCCCCAATAATGCACTTTAAAAAAAGCATTTCATTAATGACATTTATGTCCTAGGGGGAAGGTTGGCTTGAAATAAGAAATTAATGTCAATTAAAGCATCTAAAAGTAATTGCAGAGAGAAGTGAAGACAGGTAATGACTGGAAAAGAGAGTGTCTTAGGAAAATAGAGCCTTAGTTGGGGGAATGGAAAGCACGCAACGAGGAGGATAGGAGTTGCAAAAAGGCGGAGAAGGCAGGGAGAATCAGAGGGGATGGCGCATTCGGAGACCTAATTTGGTAAATTGGCAGGTAGATTGGCAAAGTTATATTGTAACTTTAGTACAAATAAAAATGTCAGGAGTGGAAAACTCTCAACATCTGCCATTATGCCATATTTCCAGTGTGATTCAAGCATACAATGATGAAATAACAGAGGTGAAATATCCTGCTAATGTAATGAAGATGTCAATAACCCCCAAAATGTTGAAAACAGTGGATAAAACTCAACAGGAAAGACTCTCTATTACCAAATTTCTGTCTTCTTCCTGACTTTTGTCGGCTCGGATCAATGAGATCAGACTTAGACCTAGTTGGCTTGAGATGAGTTTAAGAAACAGCCTGGAAGGATGCGACGGAAGATCCAAGAAGCCTACCTCTGAGTCAAATAAAGTTAGTAGCAGGTAGGCGAGAGATGTGGTAGAAGCAAAAATCAACCACACTAGGAGACAAAAAGAGTGGAGTAAAGAAGATTTCCACATTTTCAGGCACACGCACACACACACACACACACACACACACACACGCAATGCTATTCTAAGTGGTCACTGAGATATAAAGGCCTTTTTTATGTTTAGATGAGAGACTAAGTACCTTGGAAAAGACGAGACGAAATAAAGTGCATTCAGGTCAATCATGAAGAAGGAGGGAGGGAGAGAGTGCAACCACATGAGATCTCAACCACATAAACGTAAACAAGCAGGTGATTAGAAGGAAGTAAACAACACTGTCAGCACATCACGTGGGAGGATGATCAAAAGCAGTTAGCGGGAGAGAGAGAGAGTTAAAGTAGGCAACAAAAAACCGGAGGAAGCGCAGAAGTACCGATGGCAGCAAAATCAAACACTGTGTTTGTATCTGAAGGTTGGGAACTGGAAGCCAATATGATGCCCTAACTAATGAAATTAGTAGTAGAATTCAATTTTTTATTACAGGAGAAGGGTCTAAGCAAATTTTGGGCAAGATTTAAGGTTTTTATGACCTATGAACGTCAAGTACAAGGATGTTGGTATAATGGTGCCATTTAACGTTACTTTGAAATTCCATACAGTAACAAGGTGGTGGAGGGGGGGGGGAGGTGGAATGAAATGGAAAAATGGGATTTAAAGATCGTTTCTGACATCACACATCTGCGCCTCACACAATTGGCTTAAAGTGTTTTAAAAGTTCAATAGGAGAGGTTCTATTAGTCATTGGCTTGAGCAAAAGAGCCGTTTCGATGAGAAACTCTCATTTTACCACCCTTCCTATTGATTGGAATTAGCCAGGGAAACTAAATGGACATCAATGAACATCGACATCGTAGCCTCTGATCTGGAATACTCCGACTACTATAAATAACTAAAGCTGGGTTATGCAACAAATTTCATTGATTCTGTAGTCACATCATATAATGTTAATCGTTCCAACCTGAAAGAGCAACGTGTACTATTATCAACTAGAGGCCTAAATTGACTAAAACCTGATTCAAAACATAGCGTTTGGATAAACGTGCAGAGATACACCTAATATTGAACCGCGGAGTCAAGGACACTCCACTGTGGAGAAGAGAGGGGGGAGGGGATGCATGTGAATATCAAAGTGCAAATGTACCAAATCAGAGGTCACTCATCAGCGGTATGACGGTATGACCAACTGTGCTGGTCAAAACTTACCAATGGTGGAGGGAAGGTACATGATGCTAAATCAGATCGCTTTTCATTTATCCTTGAGGGGTATCGGAGGACTTATGATGACTCATTGACCAAATGGCAATCTTCGATGGTGTACGATCTCCTCAAACTTACTCTATCCCAATTTTTTCCCAAAAAGGCATTGGAGTATGAATTTACACCTGTTATGGAAACTTGGACAAGTCAGTACTTCCAGCAATCGAATGAAGTACAACTCACTTGGCAATATTGACCTCAAAATCTACCCACTTTCAACTTTAATTGAACAGTTTTTTTCTGTTTCGCGGTTCCAATTCTATCCTCCTGATAAAAAAACAAGTACAAGCTTATCCTATGATTTACCACAGAATAAGAGGTGGGGGGGGGGGGGGGTGATGGGGTACGCATAAAAAGCGATGTTTAACCACTGCCGAAACTAAATTAATTGCCACACAGCAAACAGACATGAACGCGTTGGTAATGTTGGCACATGGCCAAATGAAACGGGCAGTGGTCACCGAAACTCCAAAACAGTAAATTAGAGCTGCGGGCAACAAGTCGATCAAACTGACGATCTAGTCTGAAAGAGGGTACAGAAGTAAGCACTGGTGTGCCGCCAGTCTATGGTAGATTGTTCGCGAATTTTTTTGAGAAAAGGGAAAAGCCAAAGTTGAAACTTAACAAGGGGAGAGAAATAGCAAAGAGCAAAAAACAGGGGCTGAAGGAAAGCATTTTTGCAGCCAAATCTAAGCTGTAAGAGAATGGGTTAATCCATTAAGTTGTTGGAGTAAGGATACTAGAGTACTCTCATAAGTGAGGTCGCCAATCAATCGAATGTACTCCAAAGCCAACACTTGACGTAGGTATAGGAGACAAGTATGACGAATTCATATTTTATAGCCTCTTTTGTGGGTCATAAATGGGAGATGCTGTCAGCCACGCGCATACACACACGCACACACAAGTGGACGCACAATGGTTTAGAATAAAAGCCATTGACTGGTCCTCCAAATAATATAACCAGATTTGGTCACAACAAATGGCGAATTTAAGAAGCCGGTTAAGTAAATTGACAACATGGTCTAGAGGAGGGATGCACGAGTATCTAGGATGCCAATTGGTGTCTCTCTGCCTGTCAATTATAAACCAAAAAAATGGCGAGATATGAGAAATGAGGTGAGAAACTGAGGTGGGATGTTTGATAGAGACGTGTTTAAAACGTGAAGATGAGATGATAACATGCCATAACAAATTACTCAGAGCCATTCCAAATTAGTAACTAAGTCATTGATGCTTCAAACGACTTGGTTCAATCATCACGACCGGCCAGCCCATAAACACACTACCATTCCGCAGTGATGAATATTGTCCTTATTTAAAGTAGCAGGAACGACACATAATTGACCATATGCCACAAAGCAAAGTTTGTGCATCCCAAAGCCAGAGGGTCATGAGTGCAATCCCCATTGGGTGTAAACCCGATGCGAAGAATGGCCAATCAGAGTACTTAAAGGTGGGTAAGGAACCGAAACTGCAGAATTCGACTTTTCCACACGGAGGTAGATCCTTGATTTGTTTTTTTTTACTTAGGATGAGCGCAGCAAAGCGCTGTCTTAATTGTGTTTGGGAGTTATCGTTACGATTGAATTAATATTCTGCAAAGGAGACCTGGAAGTCAATCGCCAATATGGAAGCAATATCATTTTGTAGATAGGGGACATGGACCCTTAACTGCTTCAAAATCGAAGAAGAGAAGCTGGGAGATGGACAGCAGCCATCGTGCATATTAAATTGCAGGACAGAAATGATCTAGTGACCTCAATTTGCCCACTAAATAAAATATAGGTGCGGGTGTGCAGGTTGATCGACTTCCAAATAGTGCAAATTTTTAAATACTAAGGAATAAAAGCTGCACAGTTTCCACGTCATGTTGATATTTCAAAAGAACGCTAACTCAACGTCAGCAAAAGCGGTTTAAATGCAGTGTATCAGATTGACAAAAGTACTAATTCCTCATTAACAATTGAAGTCAGTCAAATTCACATTTTTTCTCCCTGACTATGCGACATTCAAATAATTATCATGTTATAACATGGAGTAATTGTGTTAACATATAGTTATTAAAATGAATTTATTGATAATTAAGTCATAAATCGCTTGAACATGAATAACAAACACAAATAGGATTGAGGACAGCTAATTGTTAAAATCCTACCTCGAAAAAAAACAATGAAACACAATGAAAAAATTGCCAAGTCAGAGGTGGATATTTGAAGATTTGACTATCTGTAACAATTGAATGAACAAAAAATGGCTGAAACAAAATATTATAGACCAATCAGAGAGGCTCCAGGATTCTAAGTGTGAGGAAACTGTTATAAAATTGGATTTTTTAAAGTCTGGCTCGTTTATATATTTGTCTGCCATTTCGCGTGTTCGAATGCTATTTCGTGAGTAGAACACGCTTGAAATCACATACCATTGCCAAGGGAAGAAATAATCATGACGATAAATAACAAAAAATTCAGCCCTAATGCCAATGTTGGATTAAGTATGAGCACCTTCAAAGGGAGGGATAAATCAAGATTCATTGAAACGTCGGGAGAAAAAATAAATATAAGAAATAACTACTTACTCATGGGCTGGGCTTTCAGAGGCAAGATCAACGTCACCTGTGTAGATAGGTCGATGGGGAGTTGAAGAGGGAGTTGATAATTGAGTAGAGTGGGTCGTATCAACCCCAACCCCACCCCCACCCTTCTCATTTCCAATTCCTTCCTCTCTCTTCTCATTTTTGGGTTCAAGAGAGGACTGACGGCGTCGTCTATAACCAGAAACAAAAGTTTCCGCTCTTCGAGGTTGCAGCTTGACGTCTGGGTCCTGCTCTTGGCGATTTACCTTCTGCGAGCCAACCAAACTCTTCCTACGACTAAGACTGTGGCTTGTACCTCGGCCTCCAATTGGAGGGGCCTTGAAGAGGCCTCGGAGAACTAGAGTAAATGGGAAATGAAAGAAGGTAAAGATCAAGCAGTTGAATCGTATTGATGAGAAATCACAATTTCATCAAAAACTAGATTGTATTTGGATAGATAGTGGAAGAGAGAGGGAGAGAGAGAATTACGCAATCAATCATGACTGAAAGGAGTCGGCTTAGGGGCTGGGCTACTTCGTTACAAATGAGATCGTCCTCTCCGCCTGCCCTGCGGTCCGACATTTTGGGGTGCGCAATAGACTTACCTCCACGTGGTGCACCCTGGGCAACTTATACTCATACGGCAAAAAAGTCTATTACCTGGCAGTTGACTTCTGACTTCAAATTTCTATGGCCCGACTATTTTTCATATTCGACCCCTTTCACAGTACTCATCTTACCTTTTTTATGCCTTTGTGTCTGTCTGTCTGTCTCTTTTACCTATGTGAATCATTATTCTGTCTCCCATCTCGACTTTTTGTCACTTTGATGTCCCTTTTCCACTTCATGAAGCCCCGAAGTCAGCTCCAGGGCTAATGATAACTATCAAAACGCCTGCCATTTGATATAAATAAATAAATCATGACTGAAAGGATGGACGACAAAAAGGCGCTACAGGAATATTGGAAGAAAGAAGCGAGCAATAAAAGAGAAAAAAGTGTAAAAGAAGTTATAAATTTTATGAAACAATTCCGAGAAGAGCTTGATCCTGAATAAATTCAATAACTAAGCAACGACATTCTCATAAATGGAAGCTTCCCTTGATATATCAAGCTCGAACAAGAATCACAAAGGCAATTCGAGAAAA